AGTTGAAAATAGGTATTTTTGTTCTAGGTGCTTCCGAGATAGCAGAAGTTTGGAGAGTGAAGAATCCGAGCTGCCTGATTATATTACAAAGTGTAATTTTAAAAATCTACATAGTAATATTGTTAGTCTTAGTAGCGGGCTCCGGAGTTTTGATTTTAAATATTTGTTTAGCCAACAACTACCTGATAGTTCAGTTATTATACTGGTGCAGTATGATAGTATCTGAATTTGTAACTTTATTTTTTAAACTACGTTTGTCTTTCTGGGCTACAAATATGATAGACCAATTCATAAGCCCAAATACGTATAGGAATATTGACTATGATGGGTTTATTGAAAGTGTTAAAGGCGATTCAAATGATTCTTAAATTCAAAAGACAGCGATATAATGCAACGCATGTACAAGTCAGGTTTAACATGTAAATTGTTGAGGTGCATGATAAGTTAAAAATAATAAACATAGCCATAAAAATATTTTTAAACTTAAGACACCTTATGAAACTTTAGGTAGGAATGTGTTGAGTTATAAAATTTTCATAAGAAGTTCCTGTATTTGGTCAAGCAACATTTACAAATATGACGCAAAAGCAATTGAAACTTAGAAATGTCCTTAAACAACACACTTTTACTTAATGGCATGAAGCTATTAAACAATTCTTACGGCAAGAACATTTGGGGAGTGGTTCGTATGCAATATATACGATTAGTCTCAGTGAGAATATATATATGATAAGTACAGCAAAACAACCAGCAAAATAGTTAGGCTATTCTGAATTATTTTCGGGACTTAGATTATTCAGTAGATTTGACATATATGAAGCAATTTGTGACTAGTAGTAATGATCCAAAAGCATCCAGAATAAAAGAGGTAGTATGGCAACTAATTCCATGGTGCTTGGTACTGTTGAAGTTTTTGTCGCTCGCTTGAATCAGAACGCTTGGGTGAATCCAGGCAGTTGTGGCTGTCACGCTATGAACCATCTAAAATGACCTTGTGATTATCAAAAATTTATGGACTAAACCCACTGTAAGTTTCCTCAATGTTACCCTCATTGTTTGGCAATGGAACTCGGAAGTTGGAAATTAGGGAGGCAGTGGTTGGAAGAAAACATATCATGAAATAGTGCATAGTTTAAAACAGACTGAAACGTAAGATGAAGAAAGAATATGAAGAACTAGGTCCAGGTAACTATTCAGTCTCTGCTTACGTCACCAGTCAATGTATATACGTTATTCACAGGTCATATTTGCTATAGTTTGATGTTTAACAACTTATTTCTCTTAAGCACATAAATGCTATTAAAACTTGTTAATGAACCATCAAAGCTCATAAAGAAAACGATCCGTATCCAGACCACAAGATGCAGATGATCCTGATTTTTTTGGCACCACATTAAGTATGGTAAGTCTTCCAGAGATTGCAGAAAAACACTTCAGTTTTCCTAAGGCCAAACCTATTACTATGAACCATTTAAGAAAAATCCCCACCGACAAGCGTCAGTAGAAACTGCGAACCTGGCCATCTGTAATGCATCACTGATTCGATGATGAAATTTCGTCACCTCATTGACATTGGATCAGAAATAAGCGTTTTCCCCTCGAATTTCAAAGATTATTTGCACGAACCGATCTTCAAACTAAAAGTGAAATATGGGAAACTGATCGCGGATGCATTTATTTTAACATGAGTTTACACAAACCCATTCTCTGGATTCGTGTTCGCGCAAAATTTCATCCCAATCATTGGCACAGTCCTGCTACAACCTAACCTACACATAGACACAAGTAAACAGCGGTTAGTTTGCATAAATACTGATCTATCTGCTTGTGAAACTTCATTTTCTGGTTGTAGGTTATGCTTAGTTACAGTAAGTCACACGATCGATCCATACTATCAACAAATATCCGATAAGCAACCTGAGCTATACCAAACACGACTACATACCAGGACACCAAAGCACCAAGCAGTATTGTAGTAGACGCTTAGTGGCATTGCGCCCTATTCACACAATCCCTAAAGCTGAACACGAGAGAACTGGGAGAATACATAATCAACATTTAATGCTGAGAAAAACCCAACGATGGGGAAGGCGGGAACAAGCAATGGAATGGATTCGAATTGACCAGATGGCATGGATCAGCCTCGCAGGCGTGGTCACTATCGAGTGTAGTAACATAATATTCTGTCCATATTAAATATATTGTTCTATATCCAGCCTAAATGTGTCCTTCATCATATATTGATAATTGTTACCACGCGATGAGTTGGTGTAGACAATGATGTGACTTCCACGTAAAACATTATAGATTAGGCAGTTGTATCACTACAAATCCGCAATTTTAGGATCAGGTCTATTATTAGAGCACTACTAATATCATAGTACATCCCTATTCTACATATCTAGTTTCTCGATAATATTATTATCATCGTTTGTTCTTCAACAGTTGGGCTTCGTTGTGACATGTTTCCCCTGAATTGTTGGTATTTCAGACCTCCTGATCAGGACCATGATTTTTCTCCTCAACAACCTCGTGATATGCAAATCCGCGTGATGTCGTAGCAGGCAACAGTTCACATCGTAATGAGGTATCCTAAATTATCAGACGAATAATTATATAAGCTGTTAGAATTTTACTCAATATTTCTGACTTCAATGATCTGACAACGCTTTCGCGCACCTTCACTTTGGGTCGGGTTTGAAGAGATTTTCTAATTTACAATAGTTCTTCAAAGAGATATAGGTTACCGAATTAATACATATATTTGAGCATAACATGATAACAGTTGCCGGCCAGGCCACATGCAAGTTCATACATTTTTTGCTACGACAGGATATCTCAAGTTTTACTGTAAGGCCCGATATAATCTAGTTTGTCAATTTTAACTCATCGCCTTCAAATGCTCTCAAACATCTCTTCATTTTGAAGTTTTCCAAAACTCAGTTGGAATGCTAGGCGCGTTTCATCGTGTTCGGGCATGTAATTTGAAGTACACAAAAGTAAGAGCGCAGACTTTTCTTGCACATCAGAACCTTGTGACTTTGAAAGGGTAGGGTGTGAAATCTACAGTGATTTTTCAGCTATAGAAAGCTGACTGTATGTCGTTACTGGATCAGTTATGAAGCGAGCAACCATGATTCTCAAACTAGCATACGGAATAGAGGATAAGAATTTGAGGTGTGCCTCTTATAACCACCAGTACGACCACAATCGTCACTATCGGAATAGTGGATACAAGAGCAGAGATGGAGTTTATGAAGGATTGACTTCGTCTAAACTAACAACGCCATGTCCGTTCATAATCGTTGCTAGCTTTTTCTGGAGTTGCCCTGCGAAATTTTGAAAACGCAATTTGTCCCGTAGATACAATGTTTTATGACATTGCATGTCAAGCTTAACAACTTTGTCATCGCTTGGTAGAGTTATTGATACCTTAAAGTCACATGTTAAACGCACGCTCCAAATGCGTAATCGATTCTTTGTGGTTATGAACTACAACAGAAAAGTAATACTAAGCAAATAAATGATTCATTGTACTTGTGCTCTGGACTATTTAATTTCGTCCATGAATGAGATTCCATTTTGAGGCAAACCCATTTATTTGCCAAAGATGTAAACACCTGCCGACACTAAATGTATTGTTCTATATATAGCGATAATTTACCACCACTGTACCACTCCGATAAGCGATTTAGGCTGTAATAAAAACACCATTTTCTGCATGTGCGTCAGCAAAGTCATCGAATTTCCCTTTAAGATCAACGAAATATAAGAAAACTTTTGAAGATTCCGAAAACGCTTATGGAGGGAGGGTAACTTTGAGTCGAAAGTCTTCTTGTAGTGTTAGCGATAGGACTTCGCTGCAGTACTTTTACTAAACTATTGAGAGTAGCTTATTCTTCGTCAGGAAAAGTATCTTTCCGGTGATCGGTGTAACTGTGAAGTTTGAGAAAATCTTCAATCACTTCGGGATCAAGCGAGAAAGATACCAACGTAGCACAGGTTGCTAACTTTACTTTTGCAAATTATAAGGACTTTTTTGAAGGAGTTCGCATTAGTATACTGCAATTGATGGTTTCGATGTTGTGATATTTCTGTGGGTAGTTCCTCCGCTAGATTGTTCTTGAGATTGATGTGAACTTCCAATTTACGACAGTTTTGAGCATTAGTTTTAAATATTCAAAGAACCCCGATGGACATGAAAGTAAAGATTCTGATGACAACTGCTTGACCGCGTATTCTTCTTTTTCAAGTCAGTAAACTGGTGATGGTTTAGTGGCACATGGATCTGACTCCAAGATCGTACGAATGGTTGTTATCGCCTATTTTCGTATATAATCGACTTAATCGAGTTAGCCAATAAGGGAATTAAATAAGTCGAGTAACGAGAATTGATTTGTGAATACACATATTTTGTATGTGAAGTGAATGAAACAGAGACAAGCAAAATAACACGCAGGGAAGATGGCTGGGAAGCCAACTCTATTTTAGTCAAGCGTTACTCAATATTTATAGTCAGACAAAATAAAGCTACAGACATGTGATTAATGGGATAAGAAGGGCACACACATACGCTCATATAAAAAGTCTAGATTGATAAGCGAATAAATAACAAGGCCAGTATATGGCTTAAGTAGAATGAATAAAATGGGATGTCCGAAAGCTAGAATAAGGTATATGGGCTTTGCACAATAACTGACACTACAATGGGGATGACCTATCACTTACAAGAGCAAAGAAAATTGCTCTATCGCAAATACAGAAACCGAATATGGTAGGTATTCGATCTGCGCTATATGATAATATTACGCGGATCTATCACCCATGGACAGATAAATGTTTATGCGCGACAAACGAACACTTAGAGCCAATTAAGTACGTTTACAGGTTCGTTTCGCTAGGATATCAATTACTCAATTAATTTAATACAAGATATTGTGTTCAAACTTCTTCATGCCTTTCTAGAAGCTTTGTTCTGTCTATTTAATGATGAAGATTGAGACAAAAATACAAATTAATGATGTTGAGGAATTGAGGCCAAATTTATTGGACATTGAATAGATCCCAAGAATAACAGTTTCAAAAGTGTTACGAGTTTCTGCTTCCAATGCCTCCTTGGCGCTTATACTTTACTTACGTTTCCATAACTATTGGAAGTTCTTTCGTATTCGGATATCATACAGGAGTTATCAACGCACCATTATCGGTAGGCCTTCAAAATATGATGAGGATATTTTCAAAGCTCATCCAAAATTTTACGCAGAAAGTTATTGATGAAAGACGATACACATGTGGCTCTTCATGCGTGAGAGTGATTTTGTCAATATGCGTAACGGGATTTGTTATCGGCGGGTTATTTGGGGGCCTTTTTGGTGGAGTTTTAGCTAACAGACTTGGTCGGTATGTCTTTAAACTGCAAATGACTTTAAAATTTAGAAGAAAAACGTTGTTTCTTCTTTCCATTCCAACAATTTTAGGATCTGTACTCATCATGGTTTCGGTGTGCTTGAGATCGTTCGAGGCTATTATATTCGGAAGATTTATAGTTGGTCTTTCTGCAGGTATCCGTTTTGAAATGTATTCGAATGGTTTTTTAGGTGCTTATACAGTTGTAACACCTACATACCTTTCGGAGATTGCTCCAGTAAAGTCACGTGGTGCGGCAGGGGTTATGAATCAATTTGTTACAGTGCTTGCTATTCTTTTATCACAGGCCCTAGGTCTGTCACAAGTAATGGGGACGGATAAATTCTGGCCATTCTTGTTGGGTAATTATACCATTTTTATGATCCCGTTTCAGGTCTTTGTGCTCCTGTTTGTCTTTTGCATGTGATACTCATGATTTTTTGTCCCGAAAGTCCTAGCTACTTGTATTTAGTAAAGGGAGACAAAGATGCTGCAAAACATGGTACTCTTCCGTTAGTTAAACTCTTTAAACACTGTAGCTCTTTTGTTACTAAGAGGTAAGAACTATGATGTCTTTATGGAGCTTGACTCATTTCAACGAGACCCGGAATATAACACTAAACATTACTTTGGAATGGGTAACTTATTTCGAGTTCAACATCTCCGATGGGGTTTATTTGTTGCCCTTATTCCACATTTCGGGCAGCAACTCTCAGGAATCAATGGTGTAAGTTACTGATTGATTACTTTTACAATTATGATATATAATTTAAATTTATCCTAAATGATAATAAGCAATTTAACTTGAAAGCGTTAATAACATATTTTAATGAGCATTACTATAAGATTAGTTTAGATACTAGCTATTTAATTTCAAGTTACATAACCCAGTGTGATAATTAGAAGTATCTGAATTTTTAGACGAACCAGGAATCTAAGAGTCAGAGCAGTTTAAACCGCACAGAACTGTGTGAGCACAGACGAACGTACTGTATTTAAAATCCAACATCAGACAAACATCGAGTACAAAAGAATCATTATTTCATACAAACGCCACACCAAGCTAGCTGTTTCTTTTCTTGTTTGTTCAAGATTCGTCACCAATCAAAAAAGTCGTCATTTTATACAAACACTTTTGCAACTAGACTAGGCATGTAGAGCATAGATTTGTTTGAATGGTTTCACAATTAAGTTCTATAATATTTCTATTAAGACTTGAACATTTGAGTCATGTATAAGTAAATCTTGATTTGCAGTAATTGATAAATAAAGACTCTTAGAAGTACAAGAAATCAAAATTCATTGTATCAGTCAGTCGTTATTTACAGGAAAGTATTTATTAACCAATTTTACCCCTACGCAAATGGATCAAACGATTATTTTTTATATTCGTTGGTATAGTTTCGAATTTATGTATTATTTAAAGGCCATATTTTTAGTCATCATGGTCTCAACATTGTCATTATCAGCTTTTATTACAACTAATAAGATATCAAAGTTTAATGTTTAGTAAAGTTTGAATACAAATTGCCATGTCATATGATGGGTCAAGTTATAATACACATCTTGGTTAATCAAGTAAATGTTTGGAGGTAAAATATTCCAACACTTTGTCTCGTATTTACAAATGTGTTTAGAAAACTGTAGAAGCCTCAAAGTTCATTTTATGAAGCCGTGATATTTAAAACCTGATATTTCTGCGGGTCATAAATAAATCAGCTTGAGTAATCAATTTATCATCAACTTAATGGTTTCATTCTCAGCTTTCCGCCAAAACATTTTAGTCACATTTTAGCACATGCACTTTCTTTTTATAAATAATGAATTTAAAAAACACAAAACATCAAAGTCATTTAAATTGAAACACAGAATTTTATGATGAAAACCCGGCATCCGATTGTCCCACATTTTGATTGCCTTTCATCTTAAAATTATTTTTGTATTAACAGCTTATCAAAGTTAATCTGCCGTCCTGTCTGAGACTAGATTTTTGTTTAACGCAATTAATGCTCATACATGAGACAACTGATAAAAAAAGACAGTTTCCCAGAAATCCTGAGATTTGTTAATAGCAAATAAGTGTATAAATGACATCAAACAGAAGCATAATTTTATGTTTTATTCTTTCTAAGCCTAGTAAAAAAACAGACTTCTTACAAAGCCAACAAAGTGGTCTGAGGATTTGACTATTTGCCGTGGTAATTTGGCTGACATGCAATACGATAGCTATTATAATGCTTTTATGTTTATTTGTCGGCTTGCATCGCGAAAAGTTTTAATTTTGACAATCATTTTTTATTATTTAATTGACTGAAAATATTCTATTTCTCTGTATACAGAAAAAATAGAATTTATATTCCACCTCATACATCACTTAGCCGTTTAGACAGTTGCAGAAGTTATAAGAACTTATTTCAATCTAAAGGTTTATTTCTTATAAGCAGGTGAATATTTTATTGTGCATTTGTGATCAAATATAAATTTATTTTATCTGAAACTCATTAATTACACCCACATAAACTAAGGAGTTGTATTGGTAAAGGGCTGTTTATGTGTCTCATCTTATCCGACAAATTATTAGTTTTGTTGGTAATGTGCCACTTTTCGTTCTTTTGAATACGGTATACATTTTTAGTCTTTTTACTCACTTTCTGAACCGTATTCAAACGTTCATTATATTGCAATGATATTTAATTACATTAGTTTCTAACTGAATAAATGTTTATAAGTGCTTTGAACACATTTTATCATTATACTTTAAAACATCACAGCATGATGAAAGCATTCTAACGAAACAAAATAAGTAGAGGTTTTATTGTCTATATAACTTCTTTTTCTCTCCCAAATTGTTAAACGTTCATTTCAGTAAAGGTGTATATAACTGTTCAAACCATTCGCCATTTCGAGGTTTGTCAACGGATTAAGCTCAGTAAGAAAGTAGTCAGGTTTATGTCATGCAAAGTTTGATTCAAGACAATAGGCAGATTTATAAAAATTCTCTTTGCTCGAATTATTATTAAACTCCTTATGTTTTTTTAACTTTAGGTTTTGTATTACTCTGTTCCACTATTCGAAAGTGTTGGCCTAACCAACAGAGACGCAAGTTTTGTCAATCTTGGGGTTGGAGCAGTTATTGTGTTAGGAACAATTATGTCAATATGTGTTATTGACAGAGGAGGCAGACGGATGCTATTACTCGTTGGATTTTCAGTATGCCTAGTCAGTTTAATAATATTCACAACAGTTTTGTCAGTTCAGAAGTTCAGTAATACATCTTGGTTACCCTACATTTCTATTCTTGTAATATACCTATTTGTTTCAGGATTCTCCTTTGGCCCAGGTATATAAACAGTTTTTTTCTGTTATTTAATCATCTGATAAAAACTGACTTTTAATCAAGGGTGTCCGTCAAAAAGCTAGGGCAACTTATCTGGGTAAAATACAAAACCAATAAACAACATTGTGTACAGCTTATACGTAAATACATAACTTTTTCATGGCAACTTAAACATATACAAATACTATTGATTTCGTTTGCTTATAACATCTGCTACTCTTGTATAAAGGTCGTTATCTGCAATTAGAATACTGTTTATGCAAATGTGGAATCTATAAATTGCCTTAGTTGCGTGCTTACTTTGAGGTCTTATTCCAATTTTTGCAAAACTATTGCAAAATTTTGACATCAAAGTAAGCTTCACCGTCTGTGTGTTAGGAAACACCAACAAACCAAACAATGTTGATTAAAAATTTAAGATCAGTTCAAAAAACATAAATTCATCTACTAACTACCCCTAAATATTTGTATAGAACTGAAGATAACGAAGTAATAAAGTTATATGGTTTTTAAAACTGCTATCGCTGGTAAAAATGTGTCCGACAAATGTGTTTTAAGATCACAAAAGTGTTGTTTTGAATGAAATCAACTCAGTAACAGATGCAATTATATTTGCCTAACGTTGTTATTCAAATTAAGGTAAATATAAAGCGAAAAGAATTTGGTCAAACAATGATCTTTTGTGGTTCCGGAATAAAGTGTGCTTGTTAAACGTAAACTTGAAATATGATATGAAGTACACATGAAAAAATCTGTCAGTTTTACTGTTGTTAACAGGGTCAAAGAAAAAAGATTTTCCTGCAAGCATCTGCTTGAATAGTTGACATTGCAGAATACTAATTATTGACGAAGTCCTCATTAATATTTTCAATGTCCCATCAAATGAACAATTAACCTTACTATAAAATTCTACCCAATTGTAGATTAAAGTGGGAAATTTACTGGATTTCACTATTTCTCATGATGCCTGTGATCATTATCACTTGGATATGACGAATAATTGTTGATTTTATCTTTATAATTTCACCCCTCATGATTTGTGATCTTCATTATATTTTCCGGTTACATTCTTAGTTCCCCATTAAACAGAGTCAAATGGTTGTTGAAGTTAGTAGTGTTTAAATTAACTCTGAAAGTTTGTTTTCAGAATATCTGTTTATTGACAGTGGAGTTAATCATTAAAAATTTCTTGCTTTCCAACAGAAACCAAAATGTTAATATATGTAATCATGTTTAAAAAATGTGAGGACACTTTAACATTTATTTAGATATTCAGGTTCAAATAAATTTTATATAGATGAATTTGGTACTGAAAGAAGATACTTTGTCGATAGATTGGATGGCTCAGTAAAGACAAGTTTCTTTTCTGTGATTTTATCAACAGCGGTTGTGTTGTAGTGAATGAAGGCTCGGGTGGGAAAGGCCAATTTATTGTTTAGTGTGAAATTACAGTGTCTTCGTAAATTATGAAAACCATACATTAAATACTTCATTTGTACATCTTTCATGATTCTCTCAATCCTCAATTCCTTTATGTTTCCAGTTTTGTTTTCTTTAGTTCGATCTTCTTAACCTTCTTTTGACAGACATTCCATTTCTGATCGCTGTTACATACTACTTAAATCTGTCGACATAAGTAGCATACATCACAGCACCATCGTGTTTACAGCTATTTAACACAAAAATTAATTGAAAAAGGAACTTTATTACTAAGCGATTAGAAATTTCATATATAGTGCTTTAAACGGGCCTGCAAAAAGTTTACGGTCGTTTTTTAAACTAACATGAGTAAGGTAAAGAAAAACCCTTTGATAGCTGACCAATAATTATTGAAAATCGTAGAGTAACATCAGCTGATTAGTAAATGAACGTATCCATAAAAATTAGTGTGAGCCTAAAGGCGTGAGATATCTAAAATTGCTGATAAACAGAAGTTAGTGGTCTGTAATCATATAACAGGTAAAAATTAGCATTTATCAAATATGCACATTTTAAAGCAAGTGAATCGCTTACTTATTATAACTTGCCTTTCTGCAATTATAATAATCTTATGGAATTTTCAGGATCTGTTCCTTGGTTCCTCGTGGCTGAACTATTCACTCAAGAATATAGAGATGCTGCACAAAGTGTAGCCGTGGGTACAAATTGGTTGTGTAATATTCTGGTTGGACTTCTTTTCCCTCAACTACTCGTAAGTTTCGATAATGTTTAAAAAAGATGTTTAGTGAACAGCCTTTCACATTAAATGTTTGTCAAATGTTAGAAAATCATAAACAGAACGTTAATATATTAATCTGGGAATTATAAAACTATTTGCTGCATAAATTTATCTTAATTTATGAATTATGACTGAAATGAGATGTTGACAAAAGGTATATTAAAAGGCATACGCATATTTATAAGCGGAATCGTGCACGAATCATCCTTTAAATACGTTATATGGTTTAGGATATGAAGTCTGCTTGTAATCAATCTATTACAAAGATGACATGTAGTTCTGTCTCAATATGGTTCAATGTTAATATGGGTATTACTTTCACTAAATCATATGGTCGAATTGAGAGCCTAGTTTAATAAGCTTGGTTTAGCAAACAGATGTTCTCGGGCACTCCTCGCGATACAGCTTTCCAAAAACAGGAGTATGTGAGAACCGATTCAACTTTATTTTTAATAAATATGTTATGGCCGTGGACCTCAGTTCGTATAATTTGAAGTTTCTGTACGATATGCATTCATCAGTTCTGATCATCCATTTACATTTAGTTTAAGAAATAAGTGTATTTACTTAACTAAAGGCTATTATTCTAGTTGCATTCTGCCAATTATTCATCTTTGTATAGATTTCTGGGTTCAGGTATGATAATTTGTTTGTTGTGAAATCACCCTAATAAATCAGCGTTATATGAGCCTGGTTAAATTTTCAACTTGATCTTTTCCCATCTATAAATAACACATATTTTGTAAATCAATGTAACGTTTTGTTTACATACGTTCAAACAACATTGAAAATGAACTAAATAGCTGTGTATATGAACAAAATTATTTGCATCCCAATATTTTATTACACAAAGATATTTCGAATTTTTAAGTTTTGATTTCTAGGGCCATATATGCACAAATCAGCCTTATATATATATATATATATATATATATATATATATATATATATATATATATATATATATATATATATATATATATATATAGTACTCTGAAAAAGTATCGAACCGGGTATTATTAAAAATTATCAGAGCTCTTTTATTTTGATAGTTGATAAATTTGAAACAATCGGAGAATTATTTCATGACAGAGAATTCTCTTAGTCTACATCAACTCATTTTACAATAAGATTTTTTGAATGGTTATCAGTTTGATTAGTAAGCTTATTGTGATTTGTTTCTGTAATGACAAACGAAAATCTCAATGCATGAAAACAATCCTAGATATTTAAGTGATATCATAGATATTTTTGAGTTATTTTGATACTATATGAAACAATAGTTCGTCTCATTTAATATTCATCAGGCAAATAAATATGCATTAGTCACTGTGGAGACTATAATTTAAACTAGATAAAAGATGAATTGCATCTTTCATCAGTAATCTTTACGACGTACTAAGGAAAAATTACATACTTTCAATATCCGACTTTAACCTTTAACAACAAAAATGGAACTTCAGTATGAAGGTTAGTTACATGCACTGTATAGTTTATCCGTCATAGAAAAGTTTACCTACGAGATCTAATTGAAACCAATTGTATAAAATACTAAGTTTTTTTGTTAAGTATTTGTTGATTCAACATGATATAGGCAAGTATTTATTCTTTTGATTAATTCATTGATATACGAAGAATGATATATTATTTATTTTCAACTATTAATTGAGTACGGATATGCATAATTGTTTACCTTGTTGTAAGTGATATAGGTGTGAAACATTTTACATGAGTTTTAAACAATTTTTATGCACTTAGTGAAAAATTTCTCTGAGTCTACTAACTACTTAATGTTTCGTAAATTAAATTAAATGACTCATCTATATTTCACTTGAAAACTACTGTTAAGTTAATTTTCATGTTTGCATACACAGAAAATGTATATGTTATGAAATAATCTCATCCTCAATAAATTTCCAGTAAAATGATATTAATCTTTATAAGCAGAGATTGATAGTGGCTAGCAGTGGAATCCAGGACGCGCGTTTCGTCCTGTTTGGGACTCGTCAGCTGGATGTACCTGCATCTCAGAGTTGATGTTCACTCTGGGACTCGAACTCAGTACCGTTCGCTTCAAACGCCATCGCATTATCCACTTAGCTACTGAGTCCTGATAGCCACTTATAATGCTTGTAAATTAAGGCAATATCGAGGCATACGCACAGTATGCACATATGCCAATAAGAGACTGATCAACTTCAGTCCTAAAACATCAATGGGAAGATTCAAATAAAACAATATCAAGGATATTAATCTTTATTTGAAAATGAATTTAGACTTCCTTTTAATCAGTTATCAGTTCATTTTATTGCATCAAATTTTCATTGAGAAGTTGTATTCGGTAAAAACTGTGCTTAAACTTATTAGTTGTATTTACACTTTCTAGTATTGTGTACTAAATATTAAGTTATATGAACCAATTCTGTTCTATAAATTTATTTCAATGAAGTTGTTTTATGTTTATTGGATTTGATCTTATTTTGTTTGTCTGTTGAAATATGGAAGATGTGTTGTTGTTGTTATTATTAGAGAACGAAATGGAATGAATGTAATACAAATAGTCTTTAACCTCTGTTAAAACTCTAATTAAAACAAAATACAAGATGCTCTCAGCTACAATCTATTCATATTTATCTTTCTCTTTATCAGTCACATCATAATATAGTTTAGTAACTTTATCAAATTTACAGTTAGGGTTAAGTTCTTTTTTACTTTAACTTGAGAACGATTTCGCTACATTCTATAGTAATAGACATATATCTTGATTTAGTATATTCACTTTTGATGTCTCCTTGAGAAGAGCGATTTTCTACACGAATTATTTATATCTGTATTCACTTTTATTTGATGTTGTATAGTCAGTGTTAAAGAGTAATTTTAACTCATTCTATGAATAATTTTTATGGCAAACTCTCCTACCTTTATGTTCTGGCAGTTTTAAGAACTTTAGATATGTAGATAGGGTCTTTACAAACCGTTAATACACTTTTATTTCAGTTACAATTCAGAAGGATGATAATTTATCTATCTTCATAATAAGTGAAAATAAGAGAAATTCAAAAGCTTAAATGTCTTCAGTAATCAAAAAACAGTTGCCAATTGTCTACTTTAACATCATTTCTTCATTGTCTGTTAAATCTGTATTGTTTGTAGATACATTTAAAGTTGAAGCAACATAATTAAAAAAACATTATAATGAATAAGATTCTGGGCTTAAATGTGACATTTACTGACACAGGGTCACCAAGCTATTATTCTTCTTTACTACTAAAGGCTTAAGATTTAGTCATCATTATCCTCACAGAATGAATGTACTTTTTTGAGGTTTCAAAAAGTTATTTATCTATTTCCACAGTTTTATTTGAAAATGAAAATAAATTACACATAATTATATCTTCTGTATATTAATGTACAATATTCTCAGGAATAACAACGGGAAAATTGTACCTGAAATTGAATAAAACAGTCATAATAATGTTGCAATATAAATATTTTCTATTTCAATGATTAACATTTTTTAAATCTTTGTTTTTTTGTTTTTCAGGCGCTTATAGATTGTTTTGCCTTTGTACCATTTATTTGTGTGCTCATAATTGTGATTATTCTAATTGCTTTATATTTACCGGAAACAAAAGGATTCAATCCAGTTTATATTGAATCAGTTTTCAAAGCTCAATGTAAACATCCAACACTTATGCCGGTCAGTTAAAGTACCTTTAACCCCAAAAATATTTTTTTATATCAAAAGACTAAAAGGTAAATGTTACCTTATATTTTATATTAAAACTATGCAAAATATATACATATATGTATACATTATGAAAGGTAATTTTGTAGAAACTTTTGTATATTTTGATGATAATTTTTATCATAAATTCTGGTCAGTTGATCAACTATTGACAGTCATTAAGCATTAGGGGCTACTGAAAAGCTTCAAGATGGATGTTTCGAAATTCTTGTGCACAGCTATGAACTGTAGACTAGACAAAATTGAGAATCAGGCAATAATGTGAAGCCACATTAGGGTTGCGATATTCCATACATGCACATATTTGTTAATGAAAAAAGCCAATTAAGGACCCATTAAAACAGTTTATTTTTATTTCCCCATCCCTCTGAAAAGAAGCAAGAAGAAATTGAGATTTCTAGAGATATAGTATCAGAGTTAAACAGGTTTTATTTCCTTTTATTAAGTACGTAATTACTTGTTCAACTTCTGTTAATCAGATTAATATAATGTAACTGAATGAAAATTGTATTTCATCTGTTCAGTTGATAATTCATCATGTACTTAGTAGCAATTGATTATTTGCATTATTTTCATAGTTTCACTAAATAAAAAACTCACAAAAGAAGTCTAATGATTTTAGTGAGTCAATTAAAGACTTTCGAGGTGTTGTTTTATGAGAAACTTCTAATGAATTAAAATGTTTACTGAGATATTGCGTAATTTGTTACACTAAATAGAAGTAGCTTTAAGTTATTTTCATTAGATGTATTTGTCTATAGCTTTTGCATGAGTTAATATCACTTAATCAGTTGGGTGTTTACATAACGTGTTAGTAAATATTTTATATTTTAGTGTGCAAATTTTTTACTTCGAAGATTTAGAAATTAAGTCTAGTTTTTCCAATAACAGCTTTATTAAATTATTTTAATACCTTTCATATGAAACAAAACTGGAAATTTGTACCGTTTTTCTATTATTACTTAGAACTAAATGTGTATATCATTAGATTGTTAACAAAACTAATGAAAACTGTTAGGTTTTAAAATTATACTTGCTTGTGCGAATGACCAACCTAAGCCTTTCTGTTTAACAATGATAGAATTAAACCATTAGCTTGAATAAAAAACGAAACTTCCAAATTTTTAATAAAACAATAGCTTAGAAGTAAACTTTGGTTAGATGTTCGTAAGAATTTTCAAAACAATTGATATTTATGATTTAGCAATTTAATTAATTGCATCACAAACATTTGTAAATTATCTGACGGTTATTTTCTCACTAACAGTTATAAATCTATAATATACACATTGCTGTAAGTGAAACTGTTTTACCCATTAAGCCATTTTATTGGAACAAAACCTTCTGCTATACACAAATGATTATTGCTCACCGAGTAGTAATCGACGTGATATTCGCGGTATTCTGTATGCCGGTCGAATTCCATCAATTACGTAAAAATGTGGTGACCAACGTAGGTGACTTAGAATTATGTTCACTATATTTGGACGTTAGATGTTGAGAGGAAAACGGTAGGAAGCTCTGGACGTTTACTTCGCATTAATTTGCGTTTATCAGCAAGATATATTTGGGATTTTTAGGTGAATTTATTAGACGGATTATTATATCAAAATCTTAATCGACAGAAAGACATGAAACTGGTTACTCTAAAGAGATCAGGAAGTTTAACTATCCAAGTCATATAGAAAGTCACTCGTTATGCGAATAGTTCAGTGGTGACGTCAGTGACTGTGACTAATGACTTCTTACCGTCTGATTTCAAAGTTAGACCATTGTGTACGAATGTTTCATCGAAAAATAAATATCGTACTGCGTCAAAATCAATATAATCTGAAAGTCAAAATAATTTTTTATATACTTTAGTAGAATTTACATTATTGGTGTGAGTAAATAAAGCATGGATTTGTATGTTGGTTGTATTAAGGATACGTTTCTGTTGTCAAGTGTTCAATAGTGGTTCTTACGATATGCACCTTATTATGAAGTGAGATAGTGCTAAATTCGTATTGTGTCTACATGTTTTAATCTAGGTTAAAATATTGGAACCGCTATGATATATTACTATACAATCAGATGTATATATATCCCATTAGATTGAGTAAAACATTCATTTTGTCCCAGATTGGATGGTTTTGTTGTTGCCCAAATAATATCATATTTGGTCAATTATTAATGTTTTTGTCTTGACAATATATTGAAAATAGTATTAGTTCTTGAACTAAAATAAAACCAAAAACGACACGAGATAGTATATGTATTTTAAATACGCCTTCATTTGATTCATCTTTCTATTCGTTTTTTTTTTCTGCGATACTTTATCTCATTTCGAAGTTGTTCTTTCTTTTTCTTAAATTCATGCTGTGAAATGATCATTCAGACAATCAGTATTTCGTACTGATCAATACTGAATGAACTATAATGTCACACCTTAATTTTCCATTCTCTTTTTGTTAGTAATAACAAAATTTAATTTCAATTTGTTTCAAATATTATTAAATTTAGAACTGAGATTTGTTATAAATAAATAAAAAAACCCTTCAATAGCTAATTTCATTCTATTTCTTATTATTTACTTATCATTGAACAATAGAATACATAATTCCATTGTTATCTTAAATTATTATATATAAAGAATAAAACTTTTCGTTATTATAATTTCATTTAGTTTATTTGTTAAATAAGGAAATTAATTTGTAAGTGATGTATATATTAATCATTCAGTTATTTTATTATATGACTTATATCTATACACTTATTATATGTAAAATATAAAGTACAAAAATTCATTTTAATATGATTACAATCTGAATAAGATATATACATATTTATAGCATAATACAAGTTATAATATTGTATTATTATGTAATTGTTTATTGAATAAAATTCTCATTAAAATATTGAATTATAATTAAATATAACATAGTTAAATAGAATTTAATTTGTATATTTTATGATAAATCTACTTAAATAATTAATGAACTTTCATCTTAAATATAATCACTACTTATATGATTATATGTAGTTCAATTAAATGTTTCTTTTGCATAGATTTTCCATATATATCCAATGGAAACATTTTTAATTAATCATAAAGTAAATATATTCAATAGGCGAATTGTAATTAAATCAATAATAATATAGGTTGTTTCATTGATGAGATTATAATTAGTTGAATATATATATATCTTTGTCCATAATTTCAGAGTAATCCAATTTTCACATCATTAATCAATAGCCTAAATAAGGCATAGCTTTTAAATCAAATATAAATGTTTACAAGATCATCTCTTTGCTCTGTATATGATGATAATCTGATGATTCCAACTAATTTAGATTAAATTATTAGTTTATTTAATATTTTCAGATAGGAGTTTGGTGGATATTATAATAATTTTTAATAGTTGAATTCATGAGTCAGTTGAAGCTAGACCACCATGGAAAACCCGAAAGCATTGGAAGGACGTTTCGTTCTAGTATGGGACTCTTCAGCAATGAGCACCCACGATCCTGAAGCTAGACATTTGCATCCTTGAATGTCGGCTCAGTGGTTCAGAGGTTAGGCGCTTGTACGCGAGACTGATAGGTTGTGGGTCCGGATCTCGCGATGGGGGATCGTGGATGCGCATCGCTGAGAACGAAACGGCCGTCCAGTGCTTCCAAGTTTTCTATGATGGTCTAGATTCAATTGACTCATGAATTCATTTATTAAAAATTATTTAATATTTGTTTTAAACAATGTCAATTGTTTCCATATTTTTCCTTTTTTTTCTTTTTTTTAGATAAAACGATTTTAATCATCAGTTAAAATTATTTAAAATTATACAAATCAGTGCAGTACCATCAATGAATTCGATTTGTAAACGTCACTTTGAAATGTTTTATATTACAGTAAAATGATCAATAAAATTATCCCGTTGATTAATATTGATTCCTATTACACTTCTGATCATAAAACAAAATATGACTGTTTATAGCAGATATAATTATTCGATTGTTCTTATCATTTATATTCATATTAACTAAATTTTTGTTTATTAATTTAATAAAATTTAATGATTTAAAGTATTTATTTCATTGATTATTATCTAAAGTCATGGATACAATAATAATAAAATCATTTAATGAAGAAAATTTGTTGCCATTTCACTATTTCAATTTTGTTTAATCAAGTAAATGGAAATTAACTTTTAAAGCAGACTAAATAAATCGAGTATTCATTTGATAATTGTGAAGTTTTTGGTATAATTTACTAAAAAATATAACCTTTTTAATTAAATTTTATTGTAACTTTTGATGGATGAAGTATCAAGGTGGTGTGCTTGAATATCTGGGTTACTTGTTCCTGACATCTTGATATTTCAACAAGTTATCTGTTTTCTTGTTTGTTTTAAGACATCCTTATGCCTATTAGTCGCATAACCTATTCAGGTACGTTTGTGAAAGGTTTATGACATTTTGCTGCATAACTTACAAAAGATCCTAATCAGAGACATTGTGGTTGTTGGCAATAAGGATCAAAAATAATATATATATATATATATATATATATATATATATATATATATATATATTCAGATATCGATTCTTGAGCTGATAATATCTAACTGGCGATCACTCAATATTTATCGCAAGAATCAGTCAAGAAATGTGAAAAAGAAACTTGTTGAAAGACTTTGTGCTGAAAATTCTATATTGTACCAAACATATAATATTGAGTAAAGGCATCAGTAATAATAATAATTCATTAAAGTATACTTTGATTAAGTTTATTTCTGAAACAGTTTTATAAATGAATTTAAGCTACGTCTGTGTAGAATTTCTAATCCTTCCACATTTTATAACAATCTCACTCGTATACAAAATGTGGTAACTGATATTATGTCTATCATAATTATTTATAATGTACTCTCTAAAGACGTGTCTTTGTTAAAGTTATAATTTAAAGTATTAAAACGAACTAACCTTTTGAAAACGTCTAACTGGGAAAAAATTATTTTTCATGTTATCACTGAGTCAAAAATGGACTACATCTTTTCATTTGTTTTTCTATTAAGGACGTGTTCGTATAAAGGTTTGTGTAGGTTGTTGAATCTTTAAAGTTAGCATTATGGATAACTCTTAGTTAAACTACCATTGAAAGTCACAAGGTAGCGAACAACCGTTTCGTTCTAGTGTGGGACTCCTCAGCAATAGATATACAGGACCTCACTAAGGGTGACTAAACCCGGAACCTTTAGATTTCAAGGTAAGCACTTAAACTTTATGCAGCTGAGTCCCAACCAAAGGTGTGCATGTCTAACTACAGTCATTTAAAGATATTACTCAACCCCTTGCCATTGTTTCAATCCACTGAAATAGTTATTAAGAACATTTTAATGTAAATAGATAAAGATTATCATTTTACCAAGACTTTTTTCATTTTTTTATCGACTTTGATGTACAATATTTCTATAATGTCGAGTGTGTAAAGTAAATCTAAGCTATATAGTTTTAAATAACTTCCTGGCAAATTTTCGATTATATAGTCAAAAGTGAGAGTTCATAACACATGGACATAATTTTGGCTTAGAACCCTCAGCAATACATAACATAGAACTATCCTCACGTTCATATTGAAGATTCTGACTTTGATGTTGATTGACAGTTGTTTTGAGTTCCACATGTTCTTCAATTGTGCGAATGCTATCCTTGCTTTTCCAATCCTTCCATTTACGTCTACATCAGATCCTCCTTGTTCATTGATGATGCTGTTCAGGTACGTGAACGTTTCCAACTCTTTCAGGACTTCTCCATCAAGTGTGATTGAGTTGGTGTTCTCTGTGTTGTATTTGAGGACCTTGCCTTTTCCTTTGTGTGTGTTGAGGCCGAATGATGCAGAGGCTTCTACTACACTGGTTGTTTTGACCTGCATTTGATCGTGTGTATGGGGGGGAAGAGCTAGATCACCTGAGAATTCAAAATCGTCTAGTTGCATCCAAGTTGTCCATTGTACTCCGTGTTTCCATTCAGATGTGGAGGTCTTAATAATTTAGTCAACCACTAGAAGAGAGAGAAAGGGTGAGAGTGGGCAGACCTGTCTGACTCCTGTCCTTGAAATATATCTGTTAGTTATCCTCCGTAGTCCGTCTTATGAATCCCATATGATGTTGACGATCTTCCCAGGTACACCATATTGTCGAAGAAGCTTCCACAATGTTCTCCGATGAACGCTGTCAAAAGCTTCCTCATAGTCAAGAAAGTTGGTGAAAAGTAACGAATCCTATCCAATCTATTGCTCAACAATGATATGTAGTGTGGCAATTCGGTCTGTGCACGACCGATCCTTACGGAATCTGGTCTGTTGATCTCGGAGTTGGGCGTCTACTGAATCCTCCATCCAGTTCAAAAACACTATTGAAAACTCTTCCTGGTACCGATGGTAGTGTGATGCCTCTGTAGTTCTCACATTTGTTCAGATCTCCTTTCTTTGGTATCTTGATGAGGTATTCTTTCTTCCAGTCAGTCAGTGGCACTTGTTCTCCCGAATAGAATGTAGAGTATGTTTGCAGTTACCTCTCTGTCTAACTTCAGTGCTTCGGCTTGTATATTGCCAGGTTCCGCTGATTTCGCATACTTGATTTGACTGATGATCAGTCTGATTCTTTCCAAATGTTCTCCATAATATTTTCTTTTTCTTCCAGCAGATCTTGTAAATCTTCAAACTTGTTGTTGAGAGCTATCTTGAATTAGTTGAGTTTGCCAGTATCTCGAAGGAAGGTTGTATTAAACCTTTGTAATGCTGTTTGTCCAGTTGTCCACTGCTTCTCTAGCTTCATTTTCATCTTGGCAACGACCATGTGATGATCTGAAGCTATATCAGCTCATTTTTTTTTCTTTCACATCGTCAATCGACCTTGTGGTATTTTTAGTGATACTAATGTGATCGATGTGGTTCTATGTAGTGTTATCCGGTGCGATCTACGTAGCTTAGTGTAAACTATTGTCGGTAAACATTGTGCCAGACATTCCATGAACGTATATTAGTTGTTGCTCAGAGTGTTAGAAGAGGTATCGGCTTCATGAATTCCGAAGAATATTGGCTTTCACGATGAGGCGTCATAATTCTTCTGCATGAAGATCCCTGAGCTCTCAGGAGAGAGTTTAAATGGTTTGATTTGTTTACTCTGGTTGGCGTATCTTTAGGAAGGTTGTTTACTACGGGTCGAGGTTGCTGACCCTATGCCCAACTTTCTTACTTTACGCGGTTTTGGGATCGGCATTAACCTTAGAAGAGCTACAGGCGGAGCTTTAATTGTTCACGGTTAACTAGAATATTATGTACCTAGCATACAATATATAAAATTCACTTTATAGTAAAAGTTAAGTGATGACCACATTTGAATTAGACTTAAATAATGCTATTAAGTTAAATAGACAGAAATAATATTTCACAATATCTTGGATCTTATTATTCAAGTATTATTTCGTTATATCCTGATCTGGTATCAACATTTATAGTTGCTTATTAAGGTAATATAAATAAAGGTCTATACTCAATTTACTTAAAAAAAGATAACTATTATATCTTATAATCATAAATCTTTTGTAAAACAGAGTTTTAATAACTTTTATAAATTTACAATAACTGAGATTCTGGGAACTGTTATTATCTATTCATGTAAGAGATTCATTAGTACTTGAGTTAACTTCTAGTTTAGCGTTTAATTTTTACTGTAATCACATTTAAACCTTTATATTTGGACAGTGTTTGGAAGAATACAATACCTACAAGTCCTAAAATTAATTTTTCATGGTGTGATTTTTGGTGAATTAATAAAGACTTTATTGATTACATCACGTTTTATAATGTCAATCTTATTATGAGTAGATTATCTATTAATTGATTCATGTGATAAACTATTTTATTATTGAATATTCAGGTTAAATGGGAAAATAGCCTTAAATACTGAGCAGAGGGAAATGTAATACTATGTTGCCTAGCCCAGTAACCACATTTGGATTACCTGATCAATACAGTATAATCAGCGACTAGGAATACAATACTAGATTATTGGAAGAAAGCCGGTTTTTCAGCAGTAATCCAACCAATAGTCTATTGTGTCTTTTTCTAGTTTCACAGTAAGGTTCATTAAAAAACCGTTTTATAATTTACGTTTAAGTTCTATTTGCGATTACGAATCTAACAAAGGCTTGAAGTTCAGATTTTCATCCGTTATCTCAATACATTCAGTGACTGACATACTTTTACTAGCCTAGAGACAAATTCATTACATTTATTATCATTCAAAGATAATATTGTAGATTTATTTAATTTATAGACGTTTTAATAGACAAGTTCTATCAGTAAAGAGTTTCTGACGTTTAACTTTCCGTTCACTAATCTTAGAAGTTTAATGTATTTCAATGTACAAGTATCAGTGATAAGTTGAAGTATATTGTTTTAAAATATATCACTTTATTACAACTGAGTTAATTGTAGAATGTCCCTATTACAATAGAATTACCAGATACACATTAATCAAAGGCCAACAACAGGTTTTTTCTTTATAGAATTTAAACTAAATCATTTTATTAGAAGGGTTCTTTGTGGATATTATAGTAATTTTAATTGTTGAGGTTATGAGTCAATTGAAGGTTCCAGGTTTTCTATGGTGGTCTAGCTCCAATTGACTCATGATCTCAAGTAATAAAATTAATATAACATCCACAAAAACCCCATTCTGATATTAATCAGCATATGCTCAGTAGTGACTGACTTCAAGAGGTATTTCCTAGAGTTCTAGTGAGAAACAATGACCAGTGGAGTTCAACCGTGTCTGTTGTAAGATAGTAGACCACTGAAGACAATGGTGAACGTGTCGCTCAATTTCGCAGATTAGTTAGAGTTAAACATTAACACCGCTGGATGCCGACTCAGTGGTCTAGACTTAAAGCGTTCGCTTGATACTGATAAGTCCCGATTTCGAGCCTCGCACTGCGCACTGCTGAGAACTCCCACAATAGAACGAAATAGCTGTCCTGTGTCTCCAGGTGTTCCATGATGATCAGTTCATTTTAGTCACTATGAGTGGAAATGCATATATAAATATAACTGATATAATGAAAATAATGATGTTGCGTGATTTAAAGAAGAATTATGTAAGAATTGAATAGTTTCTTAATGATAAAATAAAGTAAATTCCTTGATTATTTTTTAAAGGTACATAGATAAATTTGTTAAATTCAAACGAATTTTAAAGATGCTTAGAAGATCAAAACAAACAG